CACACACACACACACACACACACACACACACACACACACACACACACACACACACACACAAAGTCCCAATGAGATCACAGATCTCTTTTACAAGGGTGGCCTGGGCCTGGAGGTAACTTTGTGTACATAATTTATTTCATTTTTGTATCATTACTCAGACCGAATATTTCGATTTGTTTGTCTTGTACAGACAACTTTCATATCAACCCTCATCATTTAGGGAGACGACTACGCACACTAATGCTGCTGATATCATAAACTTCACCAGTGACCAGCTGAGTGGATCGGGCCGTCTCCATGGTTACTGAATGATACACAAGCAAACCATAACTCGTTACCTCGAGGAAYCAATCCTTGTTATTTCGTGATAACGACATATGTTYTCACAAGAAAACCATGGGGAAAAAATTATATGCGGGAAACGGCCGCTCTTGGCTTCCATATAGTTCTGTTTCYTTTAGGTCTATGTCTGTTTAGTTTCAGTCACGTTATATGTTTGTGTTTTTATGCTACTTGGGATTTTTTTTTCTTACATTCTCAGACAGGTTAGGAAACAGCAGATTAACAAGCCTTCCTGTTTTTGCATTTTTCTAAAAATAAAATCTAATCTTAAAATCAAGTCAGCTAAAAGTGAATTTGCTCTTGACCTAACCAGTTTAAAAAACCCAAAATGAAACGGAATGACAGAATGAACACGTTTAAATGATTTGTTGAAATGTGGCGTCACAAAGAGCCTGCTCAGTGGAAAACAACAAAAAAGGAAGTGAGGTCAGGAACTTGCTTCTGTGCTGACAGCCCTTTAGATCACCCCATTCCGGTAATCATAAGATCATTCACCAGCAGCCCGGCTACAGACATGAGGGGATTGTTCTGGCTGTCTCTCCTGCTCACCCACGTGTGTGGGACAGGTAAGATTTATCTGTGTTAAATTATTCATTCCAGCAATGAGTGGTTCATTGTTTTGCTCTTTAAATAATCRAGAGAAACCACATATTTAAAAGCAATCTGTTGCAGAAAGCACAGAGAAGGAACTCAGCTGCCTATCACAGCCACACAAGGTGATCTTCCGCAAAACGGGACAATCAGCAGTTCTGCCCTGTATCGTCTCGAACTGTTCCAGTGTAAGTCTGCACTACCAGTGGTTTGTTTTTAGAGAAAAACACCATCTTGATCTCCAGCTGACAAGCAGGCACAGCCTGGATGGAGCATCTCTACAGATCAGCGCGCTGAACGCCAACGACAGCGGGATCTATCACTGTGCCATAACATCAACAATCACACAAGTAAGAGAATGCTGCAGACATCACGTAGGACGGGGAACAACTCTTGTAGTGAAAGGTAAGGAGGGGGTTAAAGGCTGGCTTCAGGGCAGAAAAGCATCCTTCGCTTTAGTTTCCTATATAAAGTCCTTTTTTAAAAATCTCTTTAGAACATCTGAAGCCCCAGCTGAGACAGACTCTTCTGTGGTCAACCTTCACCCTCTTGGCCATCTTTAACCTGGCGTTAGTGGCATTCATTGTTATAAAAAAGGTGAATCATGTTTATCCCAAATGAAATATTTTTGTTGAGAATCAAAAGTTTAACCGTCAAAATGAAAAAATGAATCTGACATGAGCGTTTTTCTCTCTGTTGAAGCATGGCTGCAAAATCTCCACTTGCAAGAAGCCCTCCAGAAAGGATAAAGAAGTAAGTGTGTCGTTTTTGGTTTTGTTTTAATATTACATCAAATGTTTTAATTGTTTCTTAACACCACAGAAGCAACTAAAGAGGAAAGAGAGTTAAAGCCTCAGGCAAGATTCTCAAATCACCAGAACTGAAAGATTATCTTATAACTTCACATGATGTCTTTGTGTTTTCCTGTAAATCTCTACGATTTACCCCCAAAACAGAACAGCGTGAGAAAAACAGCACAGTTTCGTTACGTGCTGCAAGAACTGCACAGCAGAGGGACCTTCACCATGAGCAAACAAAGACGACGAGATGATTCTCGAGTTGAGGTAAACGTTGCGGCACACCGGGGTTGGATTTACTCAACGCAGAGATTGCAAAGAACTTGTGCAGTTGCACGTTTCCTCATTTGTTTTAACGTCCTCCCAGGAAGCGAGCGGCGAGAACATCTCCACTGATGACATCTACCAAAACGTGTGACATGTTGCAGAGTTCCACCTTTCTGACTGAGAGGACAAGAACAAACGTCCAACTGAGGACAGAGGACATCGGTGATTTCACTCATGTCACGAGACATATTTCTCTTCCAACCCTCAGCMTCAGCGGTGTTCCACAGCCTACCCCTCTGTCAGGTTTCCAGCCCACCTTTCCTTTCTGCCAACTTGTCCGTTCACGTTCATTCTTGAGATTTTGTTTTTCAGGATTTTCTGCAACAGAGAATTTGGAGAATTATTTGTGTGAAAGAAGGGTGTGCTTCTTTTAGTGACCTAAATCCTGTTGTGTTCATTCTCCTGGTTCAGAGGTGTGTTCCTTGACTTTGTATAAGAAAACTGGACAAGTTAATGAACAAATGTGTGTTGCTTGTCAGAGAAAATGCTCTGATGAATGCCTGAGTTTATTTAGATGTAACTTTGGAYGAGATGGACTTTTTTATTTTATTTTTTTACTTTGGCTGACCAATGAACCTTCCAGGCAGAAACAGAATCTCTAAACTTAAGGGCTGAACCAGAGTTGTGTCATCTCATATGGAGACAGACAACTCAACAAAGAACCTATTTTAAACTGGCTCTTTAGGCACCTTATTAAAAGGGATCCCCGATCAGTTGTAACATCAGACTTTATTTGATAAACATATATTTTAACTGTAAAATAAAGACTGTAAAAATACTGTAGGCTGTTTAGTTTTGTAAATTTTTTAAAATATATTTTAACACGGATGGAGCCATTTTAATTACACGCAAAGCATTCTGGGTAAATGATGACGTGGATAGGTCCTCGGTGTGAGCGAGCTATAGCCACCCTGAAGGTTAATCTTGAACAATATTTGACGATCGGTTCTTATAAATGAAACCAGAGAGCGTTGACAGAGAGGAGAAGGTAGAAATGACTCAGTCTGTAACTGAAAATATAGATGGAGGACAACAGAGCTGCTTCATGGAAGAACCTCAGCTTAGCCTGTCAGCCTTTGCGCTAGCGCCGATGCTATATTGCCTTATATGTATTAGCTCAGCATTAACGCGACAAACAAGCTAAAGTGAGGTCCTCCATCCATATTTTCAGTTACAGGCTGAGTCATTTCTACCTTCTCCTCTCTGTCAACGCAATCTGGTTTCATTTAAAAGAACCGATCGTCAAATATTGTTCAAGATTAACCTTCAGGGTGAATATAGCTCACTAGCAGCCTCACACCGAGGACCTATCCACGTCATCATTTACCCAGAATGCTTTTCATGTAAATAAAATGGCCCCGTCCYTGTAATATATTTTTAAACTTTTAGTTTAAAAATTATAAAAACTAAACACCCTACAGTATTTTTAGTCTTTATTGTACAGTTAAAATATATGTTTATTAAATAAAGTCTAATGTTACAACTAATCAGGGATCCCTTTAACATTCTGACAAAAAATATTTTTTTGACTTAAAGTGTTTCAGCTCCAACAAGGTGCTGCCCAAAAAATTATCAGCTAGAAACTTGGAACATCTGGATGTGATGTGCTGGACTGTCAAACTGTTAATTTGACATTTTTTAAAGATGAGCTTAAAACAATGGCAACAGATGCATGTTTGCAACAGGAAGTATATATAAATACTGGTAGATGAAATGTTATTAGGTGAAGTCAGTTCAGAGGTTTGATCTTGTCTACTTGAGAATAGCTAAAATCTGAGAATTACGGACTAAATTCATGTAAAGAAAAAACTTTAGRTCTCGTGAAGTGTTTCCAACTGGATTATAGACAGGTAGTGAGAAATGTTCATACACAAAATTTAATAGGAGCAAGGAAATAAAAGTGAATACAAAACAGATCAAAGTCCAGAATCATAAATCCTGTCTGTATAAATTGGCCTATTTGAAAAATGTTATGTGGGGTTACAACCCTGATGCATCGTTCAAATCTGGTGTCTATTTTAATGCTTGAATTTAAAGAAATCTGTTATAAACCATTTATGATCTTCCTCTGGAAACAGACTAAAAGAAAAGCTAAAAAGCAGCCAGAATTCAAAGAAATACTTTCAAAATATCACTTAAAAAAACTTGCTTTTTCTTCTCAAGAGACATCATAAGAAATATGAATATGAATTATGGTCAGAGCAGGAACTTTTGTAAATAGCTTTTTAATACAATCTTAAAGCCTTCACATTTATTTGATCACAGGAAGAAAGATCAATACAAACAAGACAAGTTACTGATATTTATGGTGTTATTGTTAGACATTGTCTTTCTTTAAAAAAAGAATCAGTCATTTTTTTAAATTCACATTATGCTGATCCAGCTGTACTGCAGCCCATTTTGGCAAATTTTGTACATTTCTATCAAATTGTGTTAAGTGCAAACACAAAACTGGTCACATTGCAGACGTCAATTCTACAAATTCATTTAAGGCTGAGGTGAATGTGCTTTATAATTAATTGAAAACAACTTGTTTCTATCCCACAACCAAAAGACAATAGATGAATGAATGGAATGAGTATTTCTACATTTTATTTCAATCTGTAATTTTCTTGCTTCTGCATCTATTTTTCCTCCTTCAACACTCAGCTGTAAACTGTGATGCTGTGAAGTACTCTTTGAAATACTGTGTAATTTCAGGTGCAAGTAAACGCAACATGTAAACACTGGAACATATAACAGCTGCAATTTACATTTTATCCATACATTATTTGTGATGCTTTCTTTCCGTTTCCTGTAAAATTAAAATGATTTTTTTGTTTTACTGAATTTCTGATTTACTGATTACTGATTTCAATAATGTAATTTGTATTACTAAAACATTTTCATGTTTTTCCTCAGCCTGACTCTTACTTTGTGACACAACAAACAAAAGTAATAAAATGTCAACAACGTTTAGAGCAGAGGAGCCCAAAGTGGGGCCCACGGGCCAAATTTGATTTGGCCCACCAGCAGTTAATGTCTTATGTAGAAACACAGTGAAATACAAGTAACACAAGAGATATTTAGATTTAACACACATGTAGATTTGCACACTTTATAAGGCCACAAAAACTCATTTGATCAATTTATGAAATCTACCATGAGCCTTTGCTGCTTGAGCGTATGGCAGACTTTCTCCAAGTGCACAGACTAAYACAAAAGCAGGCCACATTGGCTGCTAGCTTAATTGCTAAAAATAAAGGACTTTACTCAAAAAYTACTTGRATTTCATGTWTTYTATTACTGCATTTGGCCCGCAGCCCCAGATAGATTTTCATTTTGGCTCTCTTGGGGAAAATGTTTGYGCYKCCCTGATTTAGASCCTGAATCAGGAATTCATAATCCAGTGATTAGGCTAAATGTGTTTCTTCCACATTCATGATGTAGTGTTATTTTGTACCAAAACCAAAATCATCTCTGGAATGTAAACATCCTTGAACATAAACATTACATGATATTTGACCAACTTTGATTCAAAGTGGTGTAGATTTGTAAACCTCAGTAGAAATCTCCACACWAACTGTCAGTTTCAGGTGATTCAGATTAAGTTTCAACATTAAAACCACCGTTAACTCTGTAAAGTGCACAGTTTGTCACACTGGTCCCTTTTTTTCAAAGCCCAGTACGACTTTGAGAACAGCCGGTTCGGATGTTATCAGTCCATTAAATGGACGTTATTAGCGGTTATCAATCCCATAGAATGGCTTCAGACTGTCRCGACAGTGCCCCCTAGTGGGTAACCAGTGCCATATACGTTGGAATGCAACAATCTGCTACCGCCAGAGTCCGATCTACTTTATCGTAGCCCCATGGCATTTTTTTTAAACTAACCTTAGTGGTTTTATGCCTCATATTAACCAGATGACAGTCTGAAGCCATTCTATAGGACGGAGAACACACTAGGCGGCACAGTCGGGACATTCTGAAGCAATTCTATGGGACTGATAACCACTAATAACGTCCATTTAATGGATGATAACATCCGAAGCAGGTGCTGAGAATCCCCTGAGAAAAAGCTCAAATAGAGCTCTGTCTGGAGGCGTAATTCTGTGTTTGGAAAATGAGTAAGAACCTGGTCAAAGACGCAACAATTAGAAAAAAAATTCTTCAAAAAAGATTCAAGCCTCAACCCTTGTGATTAATAAAGATTTCAGTTCTTTGTCTTACTTGGAGGACACCCATCACTAAATTAAAGCAACACCTCTTCTCTGTGAAGGAAATATTGCTTCCTAACATCACAAACATTTACAATTACTTGATTTTTAAACACGATTCTTTAAGAAGTTACCCAAATCCCAACAACATAACCTGCTTCAGTAGCACTTAGAGGAAACATGTTAGCTGTCAATGTACTTCATCTCCACTGTGTGACTGTTGCGAATGGAAAATGGCCTCCAAGCCAGGACTTGTAGAGTCGCGACACACATGGGCACCAGACAGACCAAGTAGAACATAACGCTGTGGAGGCTTTCCAAAGCACTAAAAACAAGGAGACACAAACGAGTTMCATTTTTATTTTCATTTACATCAACATATAACATTAAAACTACAACCTGGTGTAAATGCTCCCATAAAAAAATCAATGTGAAAATGCTACTCCGCTGCTGCTTTTGTTTAGCCCTTATTTTACTCATTTTTAGTGTTTGAAGACTGAATATCTGATCACAAAGTAAATATTTTCATTTCTATGAATTATGATATCARAAGTGACCTTTGGAACGAAGGCAGGGTGACAATAAGAAGCTGATGTTTCTGATTACATCCTACAGCTGGGTCAAACCGTCTTCCTCGGCAGATACGACTATCCAGGTTTGACACAGGCTGAGGTTTTGTGTAACTATGTGTTGATATGCAAATATGACTGTATGACTCCTGTACTTGTTATTTTAACAGCAGAGAAATCCTGATTTATTTCACTGTGGCAAACCAAAGGGACCTCTGCTCCTTATTTTTGTTTTATATTTAAAAAACTACCAACATGGATTTTTCCCTTCTTACTTAGTTTTGAATTAAACTTAATTCCAGAGACCAATATCAATGTTTGTTTTGTTCATTAACATTATCTCATTACTATTCTGAAATGTAATCAGTCTGTTTCTTAAAAAAATTAACTGATAGACTAGAAAAAACAGTAAATTTAGTTCTTAGACTTCAAACTCTKAAGAAACTAAGATGCAGACAAATCAAATCTCTGTACCTTGGACTTGAGTCCTGTCCTGCATCTTTCAGCTGCTCGTATCCAAACTGGTTCAAGATTTTAAGGACGATCATCGGAGCCAGAGACTGAGCTGGCTTAGTGAACAGAGCGTTTGTTCCAAACACCATGGAGGAGAGAGGGGAGCTAAGGACAAACACATCGGGTAAKAAGTCAAATATMAACGCGAGTTGTTGTCTTCTCTTTCAGAATAGTCCAAGCCTCGTGTTCGAGTCYTAAAGCAACAAGTAAAGAGACAATTTTGCACTGGTTTAGGTAAACAAATCAGCACAGCTTTATAAAAGCCACCTCATCAATTTGCTCCGGGCTAGATTTTCAGTAACAGCCTTATTTTTATAATCCGCTCACCTGCGCTTGTACTTCTGCAGATCTGTGTCGATAATGTCAGCCAGAGGCAAGCCGAAGAGACTGAACGCTGCTTGTATGATAGCCCTGCGGAAGAGACGGAGGTTAGGAACCAGGCCGTGTCATTCAAATCAATAACACACAGGACAGTCGAGGGCTGTAACCAAAGTTTCTTACGTGCTAGCAGTGAGAAAAAATGCCATGAAATAATAGTGCTGAGGACCAAGCACAAACATGACAGCTGCCATTCCAGCTTCCAGGACGAAGGTGAAGAGGATGATCTTATAGTAGCCCAGCTTTAGCAGCAGACTGTGACTGCACAGAACTAGAAGCTGGAATGGAGACATCAGAAAAATGGAGTTAGGGACGTCGTAAAAATTCCCCAGATATTTTAATTAACTTTAAGTTCTGGTACAAGCATTGGTCAGTAAAATGTAATAAGAAAGTTATGTTAAAGGGATCCTTGACTAGTTGTAACATTAGACTTTATTTAATAAATTTTTATTTTAACTGTAAAATAAAAACAGTAAAAATACTGTAGGCTGTTTAGTTTTTATAATTTTTAAAAATACATTTTACATGGGGCCATTATATTTACACGCAAAGCATTCTGGGTAAATTATGATGTGGATAGGTCCTCGGTGTGAGCGAGTTATAGCCACCCTGAAGGTTAGTCTTGGACAATATCTGATGATRGACTCTTTTAAATGAAACCAGAGAGCGTTGACAGAGAGGAGAAGTAGAAATGACTCAGCCTGTAACTGAAAATATGGATGGAGGACAACAGKGCTGCTTCATGGAAGAAGAACCTCAGCTTAGCCTGTTAGCTTTAGCATTAGCCCCGACGCTATCACTATATACATGTATTAGCTCAGAGCTACACATTCTCTCATCACTGAGGTCCTRCATCCACATGACAGAGAGGGGAACACAAAAATAACTCAGTCTGCAACTGAAAATATGGATGGAGGACCTCAGTTTAGCTTGTTTGTTGCGCTAGCGCTGAGCTAATACATATAACGCAAAATAGCGTCGGGGCTAATGCTAAAGCTAACAGGCTAAYCTGAGGTTCTTCTTCCATGAAGCAGCTCTGTTGTCCTCCATCRATATTTTCAGTTACAGGCTGAGTCATTTCTACTTCTCCTCTCTGTCAACGCTCTCTGGTTTCATTTAAAAGAGTCGATCGTCAGATATTGTCCAAGATTAATCTTCACGGTGGATATAGCTTGCTCACACTGAGGACCTATCCACGTCATCATTTACCCAGAATGCTTTGTGTGTAAATAAAATGGCTCTGTCCGTGTTAAAATATAATTTAAAAAAAATTTTAAAACTTAACAGCCTACAGTATTTTTAGTCTTTATTTTACAGTTAAAATAAATATTTATCAAATAAAGTCTAATGTTACAACTAATCAGGGATCCCTTTAAACTCTTTGGTCATCTGAGTTCACACATAAGAAAKTAAAAGCTCTGAAGAAAACAGATCAACCTGAGGCAAGATGAATCCCGCTCCGTACATGACGCTCTTGGCGAGTGACGACAGCGCGTCCTGAGGAATCAGGCGCTCGGTGAATATCATGGTGAAGTTGTTGAAGAATGCCACCATGAACACCTGGAAGAAATTCATCAGCACAAACAGCTGGAAGTCCCTGTTGCTCAAGATCTGCCACGTCATCGTCTTCAGCATGGAGAGGGAGCATCCCGTTTGCGCCGCCGCGGCCTGCTCGCCGTGCCCCGAGCTGTCTGACAGTTTGTCAAAGCGGCTCTCGCTGTGCACACCCGTGTAGATCATGCAGGCGCAGCTCAAAACAGCAATCAGCACGGTGAACATCTGAAAATGCTTAAAGTTCTCCATGTTTTCGGACACCATGCCACAGAAGAGGATGCTGGAGGACCCGAGGAGAGAGGCCACCTGGGAAACAGAGAGACGTGAGCTGATGGTCCGACCTGACCCGTGCAGAGGAAAGAGGGCGGTCGCACCTGGTTGTACTTTATGAGTCGTAGCCGGTTCTCATGGTGGCTGGAGATCTCCGCGAATAAGGCACACTGAGCCAGCAGCACGAACGTCAGCAGGCCATCGAACGCACACAGAGCCACGGTTAAATGCAAACCGCACAGCCAGTCGTCAGGAGCGTACGACCGCCACGGGAACCAAGCCAGGAGGAACGCCAGGGAGTAGAGCGGGGCTCCGTACAGGATGGAGAGACGCCGGTGAGAGCAGCAGGACATCCGGGAGTTGTCTTGGAGGTAACCAAAYAGAGGATCGTTCACCGAATTCCACACCATGTACACCACCTGCAGACACAAGGTGTAAAGAACAGTTCGAGCAGATTTGAAGTGACGTGCAAACTAAATAAAACATATTTAACAGCTACACATCTGTTTTAAATCATCCTTAATGTCTTTGTTTTGCTTTTAAACAGGCAAATCTTGTAAACTTTTAACAGGATCTTTATTAGTATTTCTTCAGGCTTTCTGGCCGGCTGCTAACAAAGGCCCAATTTACAATGGATTCTGTTGTGTGTCGACAAATCGCCGGTTCATCCAGACTTTAGAAGCCTTTTTATACCTGAATTATATGAGAGTTAAATTAGTTAACAAGCATGAAGTGCATCTGCCCATAAAAAGGTCAAGTGTTGGATTGAACATAGCTGAAAGAAAGAAAGAAAGAAAGAAAGAAAGAAAGAAAGAAAGAAAGAAAGAAAGAAAGAAAGAAAGAAAGAAAGAAAGAAACTGAGCTCAAGGCCATTACAAGGGTTGTCTCATTGTAAACTTCAGTAAAAAGGATAACGCCTTTCCACTGACCTGTGTTTTGGTTATTGATTATCAGAAATGATAAGATAAAAATGCACATGAAGTAAGCAGATTAGCTTGCAGGATACTCACTTGGGATTGGTGGAATGCTCCTTCAGATATCTTGTATTTATTCAGGAAGAGTTTGACATAATAGAAGCTAAAAATATGGTTAATCATGCCGGAGCCCAGAGTGGTCATGGCATAAGCCAGAGCTGCATGATTGATCCCAAAGTTCGTTGAGTATCGGGCCATGATGGTCATTCTTCTTCCGGGATGCTTGGACATGCAGCTTTAGTTACTTGTTGTTTTAGCTAAACGCTACTGCTGACCATCGATCTTCGAGAAGTGAACAAAAAGATGTTTTAGAGAAGAGGCGGGGTTTCTAGCATTTTCGATTTATTGATCCATAGGTCCCTTTAAAGGCTCATGCGTACTAAATAATGTTTAGCGAAGCTGTACAAAATCAGAAAATCTCCTCAGACTGCACAAAAATCAGGTCAAACTCGATTTTTATGCTCCGGATTCTGGGCGGAGCTTTACGGTAATAAACAAACGTTTGATTGGGTGGAAGATCCTTTTAACCCTTGTGTTCCTCAGTGATTGGACAAGAACGACGTCAATCAAAATCACCTGGAAYTCGCAACTAATTTTTAACTTTGTTGATTTTTATTGTTTCCCTTACTATTTATGGTAAGATGATTAAAAGTAAATGTGAAAAACTGTAAATTGATTTGTGTGAACAAAACATAATTTTGTGTTGCTCTTTTTTTTTTTGTGGCTCTTCTGCCACCTACCGGTCATTACGGACGTATTTGCCACGTTGCCGTGGACAACCGAGTTTTAAAGCCGCTCGCGCTCTGACAGGATGTAGATGTTTTACAGCCGGCGGTGGTTAACGGACGGATCCAGGCAGCCGCAGCAACACTTACTGTGTTAAGTTTCTGTCTGGGAGGTTTGTTTTCGTCCCGTGGGGTGAAGATGTTGACTGACATGATTTTGGAGGAAGAGTTTGAGAAGAATAAGGAGCCTTGGTACAACCAGCGYGACCTCGAAGACGGTAAGGGACGCGCCCTAAAACTTTAGGAGTCAGTGAACGCATCACCACCCAGCTTCTAATTTACTGTTATTTGTCCAGACTGGTTTGCGTTGTTTTTCTTTTAACAAATAATAATAAACCGTCAGCTGGTGAGATGATATGATAAGTAAGTCTCTTCAAAAGTTTATCCAGGTAAAATAAAACAATAAAGTTATTTTAATAATGTTTTGACAATAATCTGTGGAATCAAGCTGAGAATTTTACATCTTTAAACATGAGAAACTGATATCCTACAAGTCTGTTTTTTAATGAAAACTGCCAAACATTAAAACTTAAAACATAAATATTTGATCAGCATTTTTATTTGAGCTGAATAAATTTAGCTMGTAATTTATTAATGAAAGGAAAATTGATTGTCTTAACAAAAATAGGAACCAAACMGAATATTATAATATTTGAGCTTTGGTAAGAATTTAGTTTTTATTTGGAAAAATGATAGTAACAGTCAGAAATTATCTTTGTTTAAACAAGGGGAATTAAAAAAAGGTACGAAATCAATCTTTTCAGTTTGTGCAGCTCTGTCTTGTCCACCTACTTGAAAATGTTGCCAGGTTAGTTAGCAGTGGTATGAAACATTTGAGTCAAAAACTAAAGGGCTCATTGTTGATTTAGTAGCATTTCTGTTCACTGCGGACCCACAAGGCTGGCGTCAGTCCAGAGTAGTGGGCACAGCTGATTCCAAGCAAAGTCCAGAGTTTATGAGAGCTTACCAGAAGACAATAAGTTGTGTGTTTGTACTTGCATTTCTAATATAAACCCCTTCAGTCACTTCCCCATTGTTTGTAACAGTGCTGGAACCGGTGTTTTAAAAAATTTCCCTGCTTTGTTTAGATCTCCATTTGGCAGCGGAGCTCGGGAAAAGTCTCCTTGAGAGGAACCATGAGCTGGAGCAGGCCCTGCAGCAGATGTACTCCACCAACCAGGACCAGCTGCAGGAGATAGAGGTGATAAATGTTTACTGTAAGCTTTCCAGCTGCTTGAAACCCACAAACATTTAGACCCACAGTCCCGCCTGTCTGTCCGTGTTGTTCTGGTAATGGCATTAAACGAACGAGTCCAGGATTAGAGATGATTCGTTGAGAGAAGTAAAATCTAATCCTGACCCAAATGAGCCACTTGGCAGAACACGTTCAACCCAGTTATGTGAAAACTCAAACACTTGGCATCTCTGTATGCTGACCTCTGAATTACTAAACGCTGATCCCTAAAAGCAGCTTCCTTCACCAGGTCTTGGGAGTTTTCAGTGTTCTGGTTTATTCGCGGACCATTGCCGGTCTGTTTGACCCGGAGGACACGTCGCCCAGTCGGTCAGCGGTTATAAGAGTCTTAATTTGTTTACGGCCGTGAGAAAGCTGCGGCTTGAGAATTTATTGAGGTTGATATGGTAATCCCAGTACGTCTCTGTGACCCTCATACTAATGCCGAGTCTGGCYCCGGGTGAGCTCAAATAAAGCCGCTTGTACACGTGAGTCTGATGGTGTGATGCAGGGATGGACACAAATGGCTGTTTATGCATTCATTAAAGGAATGCAAGGCTTTTTATTAAACGGTTTTGTATTAATATACAGTATGAACAGTTTTAAAATTGTCAAATAGGTTTWATCTTTGATATTGTTCACTCACATACTGTAGTTTGAAAGAACAACCTAAATTCATGATATTTAAACAGCTTTTGGAAAATTTTAGACGTTCTTTCTCTTGAATGTACAAAAACAAATCCACAAATATTAAAATAAATAATAARTCCTGTGTTTTGTCCCAGTACCTGAGCAAACAGGTGGAGCTACTGCGTCAGATGAACGACCAGCACACCAAGGTGTACGAGCAGCTGGACGTGGCCGCCAGGGACCTGGAGCAAAGCAACCAGAGTCTGGTCCAGGACAGCCGTCTGGCCCAGCACAAGATCCACAGGTTAGTCCTCCGGTCAGCGGTAAATTAGATTTTTACTTCACATTTTTAGATAAATATGTGACCCATGTCACATCAAAACGAGGATTAAGTCTAAAAGTGGTATATGGAGAAATAGGCAAATATAGTGTTTTGATCAAAAAACTTACAAAAGTTGCATTTTTTCAACTTACGACAAATAAATGCCTTATCAGTGTTTCATTTGAATGAACTGTGTGAAATATAATCATAAAAAAAAAAAACACTTTTTTGAGCAGAAGCAACAAAAATACTGATTTTGAGGAAAAATGCCTTAAAAATTTTTTTAGCTTTTCCTTGTGAGCTAGCAATGTTTTTGTTTCTTTCCAACTGGGAAATGTTAATATTCAGATACTATTTGAGGTTTCCTGTTCATAATGAAATGAAACATTTCTCATAAAAATTACATAAAATTAGGATTCTAACCAAATATTAATGTATTATCATAACCAACAAGACAAATTAAGTCATATCTCTTGTTCCGTTTATGATATCAGYATGATCCAGGTATCAAAATGTAGCTTTTAAAGCCAGTAATCTGAAAATGTAATTAAGTCATTTTGACCAAATTTAACTTAACCCTCATTTCGATATGATGGGTCACATATTAACTTTTGCCTACGTGCCTGTATYTTCCCAACTCTTTTCTTCAGTTTAACAGAGACCATCGATGGACTTCAGACCCACATGGAGGATCTGCAGACCCAGATCGAGGAGCTGAAGTCTGCGCAGGCGGAGCGGAGCAAGAGGGAGCTGGCCGAGCAGCGGCGCAGCCTTGGAGCTCAGAGCGTGTCCTGCCTCAAAGAGCTGTACGACTTACAACGAGACAGGTACAACTCACGAGTGAGTCTCGTCACTCTCCCTGCAAAGAAAACGTTGGTTTGAAGGGAAGCTGTTGTCCCASAATGCTTAGCGCCCGTTTTATTGATATGAAAACAAAGCTGTGAGGTCAAATTCAGGTCTGGTGTAGGGTCTCGGCTCTCAGCCATCATTTGCTGAACAGACAGCAGGTCATTCAGAGCAGAACACTGAGTTGAGACATCATCTACAGGAGGAGGAGGTTAATCCTTCCTCTCTGTCAGCGGTGTGTWAACTCTCACACACATAACCACAGCTTCAGGAGGAGTTTATGATGTGGAAACAGGTGTGGAAATGGTTTCCGTTGTGAAGAGAAAAAGTAAAACTTTTGCAGTTTAAGTGCCTGTGACTTGCTTATCCAGGATAAGCATAATAATTTGCAATAATTTACTCTGTATTTTGCCAGACTGGTAATCCTGGGGTCGTGATGATGGGGCCCTTGAATATTGTTGCCCAGGGTACAGCGAAGTGTTAATCCGGCCCTGCTTATCCTTCAGATACAAAGAGTCAAAAACTTTGTTCTGTTTAAGAAACTTGTCATACCACACATTATTTTATRCATTTGGACACATAACTGACCTATTTTCTTTTGAACTTGGCTCAGCAAAAGGGAAACAGGAAGTGACATCAAAGGGGAACTCCTTTAAGTAACAGAAGTCTCTGGTCTTTGTTTATCGAAACATTATGATTTGAACTCTGAGTCTCTTTTTGTTTTGTGTTTTTGTTTGTTTTTTGTTTCTGTCTAATAACAACTCAAAATAGTCTAGAACAAGGGTGCCCAAACAGTTTCCCTGAGAGGGCCAAGATTAAAATCAATCTGAGGGTGGTGGGCCAAATGCAATAATATAATACAAGAAATGCAAATACTTCAAATAAAGTTGTATTTTTTATGACTAAGCTAGCACCCAGTGCGGTTGCCCACATTTTCTTGTTGTTTGTTTTTTCAGCCCATAGACATGGGTACAATTCAATGTTTGCTTGGGCAGCAAAGGCTCATGGGACTTTTCATAATTTAAAATTTGATTATATGTGGTCTTATAAGGTGTGCAAATCTAGATATGGACTTAAATCTGATATAAATGTCTCTTGAAGTTACTTGTATTTTAAGTTTAATCTTAATATAATTCAAACATAAAGTGAGCACCATGAGTTAAGACTGTCTGACTACAGCTCCTTCTACCTATAGTTGGACCAATGTTTGAAAAGATTAAGTGCAAATATAGTATTTCTACATAAGACTGAAGATTACAATCTAGTAACCAGGGTAACTGCTGTGGGCCAAATCAAATTTGCCCCGCGGGCCCCATTTTGGGCACCTCTGGTCTAGAACATCAGATTCCTCTCCACAGTCTGGGCTGTTGAGCATTAGCTCTGTTTTCATGCAGACATTCCTCTTTGACATCACTTCCTGTTACTTCACATGCAAATATCTCAACAACCGTTCACCTCAGCAGCATGAAAATTATTTAGTAAAATGTTCTCAGTGTTATCTCCAAAAATGCATTTGTGTTATTACAGAAACTTTCATGTCACAGGCACTTTAACACTATATAAATAAATACTTTTAGTTTAAAAAAACATGTCAAATGTGTGTTAACTTATACACACCTATACTTTTTAAAAAGGTAGTTTGTATTCTTGTATTCTTCATCATTCTTGCACTTGCATACAGTATTTTCTCCAAAGTTGTGGATTTGTTATTGCCCAGGTATCCGGCTCACGATGGTGAACTCTGGTCGCCTCAGAGCTTCCTCTGCGACAGAGACAGACCTGTCGACCCGGAGCAGGAGAACCACGCTCTGCAGCGCTCCGTCCAAACYCTTCAGAAACAGATAGCAGCAGAAAGGAACCGCCGGGAGGCTGCGGAGCGAGAGGTCGAGTTCACATCCAGGGAAAACCAGAGTCTGGAGCAGCGGCTGACCCTGCTGGTGGGCTGCCGGCTTCGACAGAAGGAGCTGGAGGAGGAAGTGGAGCAGCTGCGAGTTCTGTGGCGCGCKGAGTGCGCCAACAGGTCAGAAGAAAATCATGCAGGACTCTGTTTTCCTGAGGATCCGTGATAGAATATTTACCAGACAGCATTTGTCTTTGCTCTCACCAGTGTTAGAAGACCTGACCGGCTGCTGTTGCCTGAAACCGTGTTTTTTGCCTCAGAGGAGAGGCAGAGCGAGGAGGAGGAGGAGGAGGCGCCTGAAAAGAATGAAGAGCGCAGCACACGTAGCCAGCAGAGGCGCAACAGCGACAGCGTTTTAAAAGCAACGATCGCCGATGAAATTCGCCGTGGTCACGAGCAGCTGTGCATCAGACGAGCGGATGCTGTGAAACAAAGAGGCATCTCTCTGCTCAACGAGGTGGACGCGCAGTACAACGCACTGCAGGTGCAATGATTACCATTTGCTTCAGGGGGGCCTTTAAATGTTACAACTTTGTCAGAACTGGGGTGTTTTATTGAGTGGGGTTTAAAGATGTGTGATTGGTTTTTCTAAGGTAAAGTATGATGAGCTGCTGKGGAGATGTCAGCAGGACACAGATGATCTCAGCCATAAAGCCGTCCAGACCTCCAGCGGTTCTTCTACCAACGCCTGGGTGCGCCGCCGCCTCTCTAACTCGGCTGCGTTGTCTGATCTGATGGTGGTTCCTGAAAACGGCCAGCAGCCTGAGTACAAGCTGCTCTTCAAGGAAATCTTCACCTGCATCCACAAGACTAAAGAGGACCTGAGTGAGAACAGGCATCCTGCCAGTAACAGTGATTTCTGCACATCTGCCAAATGAACATGATCCAGTCTTTCAGAACTTGTTTTGTCTGGTAAAGTTTAGGTCAGAAGGCTGCTTTGCTGTAAAACATTTCAAATGTGCAAGTCTTAGAAATGCTGTTTACTTTTGTTCATTTGTACACAGATCATTTGATTCCATCCTGGTATATGTAACAGCAGCATTTAATATAGCCATCGTAAATAAGAAGTACTTTTTAGATATTTAAACTAATGTGGATAAGATGTACAGTGCTGCTCATCCTTCACTTCCAAGGAGCCAGACTTTCTGAGATGCATCATCCTTGAGTTGATTCARGATTTAGTCAAAACAATATTTTATATCTGCATCTCTTTAGTATTTGTTACATATTCAGTTAAAGATATTTGAACATGTGTCACTGTGYCAAAATACAAAATTAAATTTGTGTTTTTGCTGAAAGTTGTTGGAACTGAAACAGATTTTTTTAAAGATTAAAATAATCAAAACAATAGCAATATTGCAAAAATCAGCAGCTGAAATTGAATTCTGGCAAAAAAAAATTGTACCTATAAACTGTAGCTCAAAGCTAKAATTAGAAACACGGTGGCTAAAATCCAAAAAAGAAACAATGATCCTAAAGTACATTTTTAAAAAGTGGTTTCAAAAATTAGATTTTAATGAGAACAAGTATAATTATAGTGAAATATTTCAAAAGGTACAAAAAATGACAAAAAATGACAAAAACAAAATATTTTAGCCACAATGTCTTGTCTGAGCTGAATATTTTGGCATATGAAAGGATAAAATAGCTGAAGCATGTTGAAGTAGTTGGTTCAAAAACTCACTGCTGACTCAGCATTTATGCAGTGACAGAGAAGAACGACTGCTTGGCATCTTAGACATGAAATTACTCTAAACCTCTGCACAGTATTGTACATTTTAACCATAAGTATTGTGTACCTACAGTGTTTCTACAATGTTATTTTGTTTGGTTTTTTTTTTTTTTTTTTTTTTTTTTTTAAAATGTTTAACTGCTCTGAACATTTAACCACAATGACAGAATTTTTTTTTTTTTTTTTTTTTGGTCAGGAAAAGCACACCATGTGTAGTATTATAGTATGCATACACAAATTTTGTAAGTTAAAAATTTGAATGTTGTCTTAAAACAAAAAAAGTTGATGCAATCAGGAGTTTAAGGCAATCAASCTAATCGTAAATCTGAACCATTTCTTTAAGTTGTCAACACAATCTGTGTGAAAGTTGACGTGGACACTGGAAATATTTATTTTGTTTTCATGTTTCTGACGAGTGTCTGCTCAGCAGCAGGCCTCACACAAGCTCTGTTTTTGATATAAATCACGTTTTTTGTTTTATTTATTTGTAGAAATGTTTTGGTTTATTTATTCTCTGTCTAGAGCAGATGTTGGTCCAATGTTTAGAGATGGGACTTAAAATGCACAGTAGGGTGTATCAGTGTTTGTATGTTTCACATGCATTATTAAAAAGATATTATACATCATCATGCGTTTATATGGTATTCACACTTCAGTATAATCAGTGTTTTCTCGTAGTATTTTTTACACATGAAAAAATAACCCAAGCTTTGTCTAAAATTTTCAAGACCTCAGACAGTTTTTTTTTTACAACTTTTAATGTAATTAGGATTTACATAGCTGAGATTTCACCATCCTACTTTCAGCAGTCCAAATCCACTAAAAGGGCCAAACAAAGAGGATTGAACACCACGTTCACCCAGAAGGAAAACTCTTTACAGCAACTTTGCATGCTGAAATCTCACAAAACTGCACAGATAAGCAATCAGTAAACACTCAACACACACTGTCAAAAGTTTACCCATAAATGTGTTAAATCAGAAGCATGAGAACAGGACTGTAAAGAGGTGAAAGGAGTGCTGTTGTCTGTCAAAATGTATTAATAATGTGTTGTTTTATTTAGATGTAGATGCTCGGAAACAAAAGGATCCGCACAAAACCACAATAAAGGGAGGTTCTAACAAAATATTGGAATGTAAATTTATTTAAATGACTCGATCAATAAGTATCTAATTACATCTGCAAGCTCTATGGCCCTTTTAAGGTAGTCACAGGTGCCATTTTGTGGCGGAAATGATGAGGTAGTGTGGCCGAGTGGTCTAAGGCGCTGGATTTAGGCTCCAGTCATTTCGATGGCGTGGGTTCGAATCCCACCGCTGCCAAATACATTTTTTCCCCTGACTGACTGTTTTTTAATTTAAGCCTTTTTTTACATTTTTGATTGATTAGTACTCTACAAAAGGTTCCTATATTAATGTTTTTTTCTGATAAAATCTACCTGCTYTAGACTACAACAGCTGGTAAAATCCTTGCCAGTGCAATGGCGCCCTCTTGTGGACACAATAAACATAGCATGTTTAATGCTAATCAGATTTTTTTTTAAAAATACATTCTTTTATGATTCAAATGTATTTAGTCAATGTTGCAAATCCAAACACGTTCTCTTAAAATAATGGATGCCACATTCCTTCTTAAMTTTTTTATTTCTAAAATTGTACAAAATTACTACTTCAATAGTAATTCTCATCAACAACTCACCACAGAACATTGTCGTACAAATTGGAAGCATGCCTTAAATACAATAAATTATAGTTTGACTATTAATAATACAAAGTTACGTGTTTTTAAACAAATAGCCCAATAATAACAGGAAGCTGTGGAGAAATTGTTCAAATCCTCACAATTTAATACTTTTCAAATCTTAATATCATTTTTAAATTCGGCTCACATGATTTCAAAAGGTAGAAAAACAACCATACATTAGCATACGTCAATGATTTTGTTTTCCATGTGAAAAATGAGGAATATATAAATTAACCTGAAATTAATTAAAACTGATCTCTGGGGACTAAAACCGGTGAAAATGAGAAATATAAGTTAATCTAAAATAATAACTAAAACTGATTCATGGTGATTAAAACTGGTGATTTCTTTTGTTCTTTTTTTGTATTTGCTGCAACTAACAAAATATATTTTTTGTCTAATCAGGAGTCTGCTTCAACTGACAAAGCCTGAGAGGAATTCTCTTCTGTTCAATACTGTCAAAGACGTTTAGCTAGAGTATGCCAGACAACACGAGGAGCAGCAGACTGAGTCCCATCAGCAGCAGAAAGACAAAGAATCGGAGCAGCGGGGAGGTCAAGGCCACGCTGGTGGAGGATGAGCTGGAGCGAGGCATCTGGGTCTTGAGGTAGTGGTCGAAAGCATCTGCCAGGCTGTACTTCTTTGGGCAGTAACCCAGCTCACGACGGGCTTTGTCTATTTTGAAGGTGTGGCCCACAGAGATGTGCCTGACCTGTGGAGATAATGAAAAGTTACAAGTTGCAGAGAGGCTCTTGTAATTAACAGAAGAGTAAAAAAAATCTTTATTATTGACTCTGAGGGGAATCCTCCCTCATGATTCACTTCCTTTCTCTTTCCTTTCCTTTTTATTGTAAACACTGGAGTTTTTCTGTATGAATCAGGTGAAGCTGTATATTCATCTGTCAGCGTACGACATGTACTGTCACACTGGGCAGAGTCCTGCTCATCCTGTCAGGCCTGCTCATCATTCTGACTGTATGCATATGTTTCTCTTTAGCTGTTACTTTGAGGCAATTTCTGAGACAAACACGTCAGATTAAATAAGTCACCAGGTTCACCCTGAGCTCAGGTCGCAGGCGTGACGTCGCCCCTTAGCAACAGCTCCTGCCCTGATGTCACTTCCTTACGAACTGGCATGCTGAACTTCCTACTCCGACCCACAGCAGATGATGTTTTATTCARGGGACAATCATTGATCCCTCGGCCTGCAGCTGTCTGAGGGATCGGGCTCCGCAGATGAAGGGCCCCGCGGGGATCAGCTTCGGTTTCGGGCTTCATCACACATTCATGAGGACCCAACGGGCCGTGACGAAGACTCRTCCAGACACACTGTGAAGGCTGCACTGATGAATGCAGCCCTCAGTTCAGTTAATTTAATCATTTTTGACTGGAGTAAAGATTTAACCGTGGTGCCAGTGACAAGAGGACTAAGTCAAAACATTTAGATGGATGAATTCAAGGTTCCATTTTAGGATTGAAAGTATCTGGTTGTGAAATATTTGTGTTGTGGAAGGATTTTTAGTCTAATCCTCAAGATACGTACATGGACATGGATAGAAAAATGGAAAATCAGTCATGCTTTTGAAGTTTGGTTCAACAGAACTGTTAAAAAAACTACTGAAACTACATGGATGTAATTTGCAGGGGGGGTTAGGGGGGTTATGACCTGCACAATAATTTGATCCTGTCAATATAACCCTTGAAATAAATCATAGAACTTACTCTAAAACAATAGAAACTAACTGGTTAAGTAGTCATCCGAGAGGGACTCAGAGTAGAGCCGCTGCTCCTCCACGTCGAGAGGAGCCAGTTGAGGTGGCTCGGGCATCTGGTAAGGATGCCTCCTGGATGCCTCCC